GGTATCGAGGAGGGATTGTGAGGAGAGGTGGGAAGGGAAATTCATTTGGGATGTAATATGAGAGAAGAATAAATAAAAAAAATTAAGAAGGGGAGGAAAAAAAGATGTGGTTTACCTCATGGAAGGCAAATGCAAAGGAGGAAATGGAGAAACCATAGTCTCAGTCTACACTTCGAAGTCATGTTCCCAATAACTTAACATCCTCATTAGCCCTGAATTTCTAATTGTACTACCACCCAGTAATACTATGGCCTAGAGAGTCAACATTTAACCCATCACCTTTTGGGGGGCATTTCCAGTGCTGAAGGTATGAGGTATCAAAGGGGATGACAGCTTGTACTTAGGCTGTTGGATATATGAACAGATATGTTTTTCAATGTTCAGTAGATTTTAACTGTTGTTAGGTGCATTTTATTTTATATAAATTACATTTAATTTTAACAAAGTGTGTGGCCCAGACAAAAAGTACCCTGTCAGGATATCCAAAACAAATTACAGATTTAGTCTGTCATTCCCACATTTTCTAAATCTTTCTGCATGTTCTTTCACTCATTTTAGGATTTTAAACATTGTTATATAAGAATGTTCTAGTTGTAGCTTATATGAATGAAGTGACAATACTTATCTGCTCACTGTTATGGCCTGAAAATAGCTTTTGAAATACTCAAAGTACAACTGTAATAGTTTTCTAGTTAAATGAATCTGATTAAAATGTCATGTCTATTTAATTAGATAATTAACTGAATTGTGATTCAAAACTGTCTTCCATCTCTTATTATGGTTAGTGTGATTTAAGATAAAAAGTACTGGTGTAATACAATAAATAAAAGACCCAGAGACTGATATTGGGATATAAACTTCAAGCTGAAGATCAGAAAAGCAAGTAGCAGGCCATTAGCATTTACCACTACTTTAGGCTAAGTGGGATGATCTGCTGCCTCCCCTCAGTGTGGCTGGAGAATCCTGAGACTGAATGTCTTCCTATCTTGAATGTGGCTGGTGAATGAGTGCATCCTCAATGTGGCTGGAGAATAAATGCCTAATACTGAGAACTTTATCCTGTCTTTTATACCTCTCTGATGCTGGGATTAAAGGCCTGTGATCCCAGATGCTGAGATAATCTTTATGCAAGCTGTTTCTCTTTAAGACTGGATCAATCTTGTCTATATCTGGGTGGGCATGGACTCACAGAGATTCATCTACTTCTTAATCCTGAGTCCTAGGGTTAAAGGTGTGTACTAACATCTACTAAAGTCATGCTGCTGTGATTAAAGGTGTGTGCCTGACTTCTATGACTTGTGGCTGACTTTCTGAATCCTCAGTCAAGTTTTAATAAATCATTAATAGTATATCATCACATACTACGGACTGGAGTAGCTCAGTGATTAAATCACATATTGCTTTTTCAGAGGGTCACAGTTTAGTTCTAGCACATAGAAATGGGCAGCTCACAACCACCCTCAAGTGTAACTCTGGTAACTACAATCACCTGCACTCATGTATATAAAATCTACACACAGATATACACATCATTAAATATAGATAAATCTGTAAAAAATAAAAAGTACTAAACATTTGTTTCCTAGTGCATCTTGTGATTTATACTGTCTTTCTTTTGCACAAACATTTGGAAAATTGAAGTTGTAGTTTGCATGAAATGATCTCTCCAAGTTCCTTATATTTTTCAAATGTGTGCTTATTTCTTTCCTCAAGCTTAAAACAATTCCTAACCCAGTGATATTCTATGAATGGAAGAGATTTATTGGCATTATACAGTCCATATATACACTAGAAAGAGGTGAGGTAATTTAAATTTAGGATGATTTTGATATACTTAGAGAATGACTAACAAATTAACATTATGATGTTTAGAAAGAAAAGTAAATGATCATCATTATATCTTGCCACTGAATGCACAAATTAGGATTAAACATTAAATTATGGTTAAGATAAAAGACACCTCAAAGATCAATGCTTATAACTTCTTTTTCCACACCCTCAAAATAAAAAGGTAACTAGAATTTTCCCACAAAAAGAGAATGAACCAGAAATTGGTATTATCAAGGGATCCAATGAAGAAGCATTTTTCTTCCTACTAATTCTTGAACCCTTACTGGTTATCTAACTTGAAGGCAACAGAAAAAAAAAAAAACAATGGAATCTTGAAATTCGCAGATAAATGGATAGCACTGGAAGAAACCATCCTGAGTGAGGTAACCCAGTCGCAAAAAGACAAACATGGTATGTACTCACTCATATATGGATTTTAGACATGGATCAGGATAGTGCCAGTCTGCACTTCCACTGATAGAGAGTGTGGGAAACAGGAAAGAACCTAAAAGATATGTATAGTACCCAAGAGAAGAGGAATGAGGCAAGATCCTCTGAACAGATGGGGAACATGGCAAGGGGTGGAGGAAGTGGAAGCTGGGAAGAAGAGAGGGGGAGAAGAGGAAGAGAGAGTAGGTCATGGGGGAACAGAAAGGGGGCAGAATAGGGGGAAGAGGGAATCATAGGTTAGAAGACAGATCAGGCACCAGTGTGACCTCTAGTGATCTAAAGGGATGACACCAATTGGCAAGCTAAGCAATAGTGGAGAGACTACCTCGAATGCCCATTCCTGATAATGAACTTGATGTCTATAACCATCTGGGAGCCTTCATGCAGTGAGTGATGGAAGCAGAGGCAAACACCCACAGTTAAACACTGAAATGAACTCAAGGAACCCAGTGACAGAGAGGAACAATGAGCAAATTGGCAAAGAATGGGCTGGCAAAACCAGCAGAGACAGCTGATCTGAACAGGGGAGAGATCTTGGACCCCAGACCGACAGCAGGGAGGCCAGCATGGGACTGATCCAGACCCCCTGAATGTGAGAGTCAGTGAGGAGGCCTGGGCAACCTATGGGGCCCTGAGCAGTAGATCAGTGTTTATCCCTGGAATACAAACAGACATCGTGTGTCTATAGCACAAAGAGGGAAACTCTCTCAGCCTGGACTCTTACCTGAGTGAAATGACAGACTCTAGATATCCCCTATGTGGAAGGAATTGGCAATAGGGTGGGAGGCTGTGTTTGGGATGGGGGATGCAGGAGAAGGGGAGGGAGAGGGAACTGGGATTGTCATGTAAAACAAGCTATTTAAAATTAAAATAAAAAATTAAAAAATAATAAAACTTTATAATACAAAAAAGAAATTAATATGGCAAGAATTAAAGAACTACCTGGGATTTATGTGTATGGTTCTTTTTTTGGGTTACATAAAAACTCATAAGGAGCCCTTGTTCTTATCAGATCAATAACAACTGTCTCATTTCCAGTGGAGTGTGGGATGTTTGTTTCTGAGTCAGTATGAAGGAAGGCATTGCTGCAACAATTTTTACAGTAGCTAATTGAATACTTTTGCCTGGTCTTCTTTTTCCCAATTCCAAGTTTCTGTTATAGTACAGTTACTTAATTCTAGGCACTTTCTATTTCCTTAAGATACATCTTTTCAATTACTGTTTAATTGTTAACCCACACTCAGCTTTCCTCAAAGTCTGACCTTCAATTAGATCATCCCTGTTATTGGTAAGTAGGTTTTATCCTTGCAGCCTGTCTTCACATAACTGAAGTGTGAGCTAGGAAGAAAGAGAAAATGAGAAAATCTCACTACTACCGTATCCTTTGTCAATGCACTCAAGATTCATAATAAGCAATAAAAACATTCATGTATCTTGCATTTTATAATGCACTGAACAGTTTGACATGAAGTCATGAATAATATTCACAAATGCTGGTTACTGGTGCAGAGGACATTTTCCAGAAGCATGCATGTCACAGAAAGCAAGTTGGAGCAGGGACAGAGACTAGCTTATCTAAAGCCTGTTTCTGTCTTATGTTCTATCCACTAACATTCCTGCTCAGCTTCCTCTGTATTCCTAGCAAGCACATTTTTGAAACACTAAAATTCATACTAATTGAATTAATCATCCAATTCAGCTACAGGCTGGTAGGCTTAGTACTAGCATTTATAGTTTCAGTATTCCAAAATAACAATCCTATATCTCATCTAATTTTGCATCTTAGTCATTTTCAATGGTTCTGAATCTGTCCCACCATTTTTAGCAGGGTCCCCCAGCACAGTGTGCAGTCTGGCCACTTCCTCTGTCTTCATTCTTAGAACTCGGCAATCTCTCCACATATATACTGACTTGTAATAACAAGGTACATGTATTGCATTTTCATTCTGGGGCTCTATTCCTGATAATATCTTTTGAATATCATCTCTGCCTTCTCTAATGATAACACACACAATTTTCAGCATCAATATAAAGCATCCCCTTCTAGAAAAGTACTGCAGAGGAAATTTGTATATATTGCCATGGAATGGAGCTTTGAAACTAAACATATCTGTTTCTCATTCCTTACCAGTTGTATAAAGGTGGCTTGCTAGCTGTACTTTAGTTTAAATATTTATTGAAAGCATTAATAAAGAACTGTAACTATATCAGATAATTTAATTAATAGACAGCATTGTAGCACTTATAGAAAATGCTTATTATCAACTAGTGATAAAATTGATCATTATCTTATTTGGCTTAGCTCATTTCTCCATTATCTACTCATTTCATGTATCATATATTATTAAATTCCATCTTTACAACACTATGCCTTCATTGGACTGTGAAGTTTTCAAAACCAAGAAAACATTAAATATTTATATGCCAAGTGCCATGCAATCAGTATTATACATAGTAGAAGAATATTTAGGATATCTATAATTATTGATATAAAATAATTGATGATGAGATGGCCATGATGGGAGTTGAGTTCAAGTTTTGTCATTTACTAGTTTAAAAAATTCCTCAGCCTTTGTAAGTTTCATTTTCCACAATTATAAGTGATGATAAAAACTGGCCTTGATTAAACTAAGAGATATATACTATATAAATACTTTATATGATATAATGTTCTATACAAACAGTAATTGATAGTATCATTTTAAGCTAACGTAAGTCACCTTCACCTATAGGATCCCAATACACCACTCCTTGTCATATGTTCTAAGGACTCTTCACAGTCCACAGATGTTTGCTCAGCCACATTCATTGTGGCTCAATAGCTAGGAAAAAGAAAAAGCATAAATGTACTTCAGCATTGCATAGATAATGAAATATGCAAATTATTCAGCTGTAAAGAGAAATGGAATTATGAACTTTGTAGGTAAATGGATGGAATTAGGAAAGATCATATTGAAGGAGGTAACCCAACTCAAATTGATGAACACTGCATGTGCTCCAATCATCTGAGGATCCTAACTGTAAGTCTGTATCTGTGAGCATATATCCTGGGGTAATTACAAAACCAAGAAAAGTAAAAAGGGATTATTGCTAGAATGTAGGCAGTGAGGGAGCAATGGAGAGGTTGATAACAGAGTAAGAGTTATTAGATTGGGTAAATAGGAAATGGGTCTTTATGTAGAGGGGAAGATGCAGAAAAAAGAGAACAGTAAGGATGTATGAAAAGTTAAAAGAATTACGCTCTTAATGATCTATCCCCAAATCAATACAATACACATAAGCTTGTATACAAAATATATGCCAATTAAATAAGTTTTTCATCTGGACTGACAATGCTTCTTTCAACAGCTAAAGACCAACTAGATCTCTAAAGTCAGGAACGCTTTTGAATTGTTGGTTGGGTTGTCCGAGAGACTATCAAAATATTATAGACTATTGCTGTTGCCCTTGGTTGTCCTCTACACCCACCCAATGGAATGTAAGTCCTTATTGTTAAAAGCACTATGGAGTACAGTCACTAGGCCCAAAGGTCCCTGTGATGGAACTGAGATGAAAGCCTCCCTGAGGACTACCTTTCATGGTACCAAATGGTACCATGGAAGGTTCCAGGGAGGGGAACAACCAATAGTCCTATCCCTATGGCTGTAACACCTATGAACCATAAAAAATAATTATCTTGGCACAATAACCCTAAGTATGTAGTAGTGGCATGGACACATTGGTAGCAATCACTAGCCATCTAATTGCACTTAAGACATACTCAACAGAAGGGGCATTATGTCTGGTACTGGAAACCTAGCCAACTACCCAGAACTAGTGAATTCATGAATCATAGAGCTTAAACAGCAAATTTACCAAGCTAGAATAATCTCTAACTGCATTTTAAATTTGTCCTTATACCCACAGATAAATGTAGTCCTTACCCCTCATGAAGGAAACTTCTCTTTGCAACAGCTGTAGGTCAATACACAAAACCACAACCAATCAAAATGAAGAGTTGTGGAGCTCAGCTCTAATGGATAGAACTATAAAACAACTCATGAACCTCAGGGTCAGGGATCATTGAAGAAGGGGGACAGAAAGATTGTAAGAGCTGAAAGACCATAGAGTTTGCTATGAGACTGTGCCTCCTAGGTATATCAGAAATCACAATCACAAGTCTTACCAGAGTGAGAGTTTAAACATGAACTGAACAAGAACAATATGACTACAACTGAGCAGGTGGAAACACACATAGTTGAACCAGGTGGTTTCCTTTACTTCTGGCGAGGAAAGCTGGTCCTGAGGTCTTGAGAGTGGGAGAACTGTCTCTGCTCCTCATCTGCTACAGCAGCCAGTAGAGCTGGTGCTGCACCTCACCTAAACAGCACAGCAGAGCTGACCCTGAGGGCAAGAGCATGGTAGATCTGGCCCAACAACTCCTCTATCAGGCAACAGTGTGGGTAAGGGAGAGATGGACGCTCATGCCCCTTGTCCCTTGCCACCTTCAGCAGGCAAGGGAGCTGACTCTCTTTCTTACCAGCTGTAGTATTAGGGAAAGCAAGCCCTTCACCTCTCCTGTCCAGCACAATAGAGCTGAACCTGTTGGTAAGGGCATGGGTGAGCCCAACCTGAGAGCCTGAGAGTGGGAGAGCTGGCCCCACCCCTCATCTGCCATGTGGTGGTGGGGTCAAGGAAATGATGCCATGCCTCCTCACCCCTTGCTACCTGTGGCAGGCCAGGCAGATGATCCTTCTCCCTACCAGCTACAGCACTTGGGAAATCTGACCATGTACCTTGCCTGGGCAGCACAGTAGAGCCTAGCCTGACGACAGGGGTGCAGGTGAGCCGGATCCATAAGCTTTGGAGATCTGGTCCCACCCCTCAGCTGCCATATGGTGGCATGGACCAGGGAGAGATGCCCCTAACCTGCTCCTCATTGCCTGTGGCAGGTGGGAGAGCCGGGCTTGTGCTCATGAGAGTAAGAGAGGTATCCCTGCCTTTCACCAGATACAATACTCAGGAGAGTGGCCTCTTGGATAACACCGCAGAGCTGGTCCTGGTGATGAAAGATGTAGTCCAGCCTTCCCTGACGGTGTGAAAGCAGGAGAAATGGTCCTACCCCTTGCTTCTTGATTAATAGGATAAACTAGCGGAGGTAATGCTGGAGAACTCCCCCTGTTGGTGAAGATAGAGGAGTGCCCTCAAGCTGACCATCTGCAACCACCCAGGCCCAGAATCTGGAATAAGTATTGGTCCACCCGACAAAATTACATATCATAGAATATGTCTGAGATCATGGCTGAATGCTGAAATCCGCATGTTTTAGAGAGATATTCTTCCCCCGGTGCTACAGAACAACTCCCTCCCCACCTCCTCAAAAGCCCGGAAGCATATCACAAGCTCTTTTTAGTGACTGTTACTCTATTCCTTGTTTAAACTTTGGGAAGTCAGGGGTCAAAGCATTGCTCTTGTCATGCTCCTAAATTTTTCTATATTTCCTGACTGATGTCACCCTTTTGTCCTGGGTATTTCTACCTTGTGGACACATCCAGAAAACTCCTTCTTAGTATCTGAGGCCCTTTTATGACATGCCTTTTATCCATCTGCTTTGTGCTATTTCACAGACTTTATAAATTCAATGATCTCTGTGTGATTTTATCAAACAAAATAGTTAACGGCAACAGGGATTGATAGTGTTAAGCACTCGAAGATATTTTCCATCTATCACCTATCTATCTATCTATCTATCTATCTATCATCTATCTATCTATCTATCTATCTATCATTTATCTATCATCTGTCAAAATGATATTGTGTTATATTTAACATGTATTTACACTTGCAACAGTTCTAGAAGGGAAGCTCAAGATTTTACATTCTTTTGACAAATAAAACAATAAATTCTGAGATTTAAAATATTCCAGAGATTTTAAATAATATCTGTAAATTACCCATGATTTTAGATTGAAATCCGTGTGTAACTCAGATTTCTTATTAAGACATCAAATATGCCGGGCGGTGGTGGCACATGCCTTTAATCCCAGCACTCGGGAGCCAGAGGCAGGCAGGTCTCTGTGAGTTTGAGGCCGGGCTGGTCTGACAGCCTCCAAAACAATACAGAGAAACCCTGTCTCATAAACCAAAAAATAAAAAAAGACATGACATACATGTATGTTAATGTACTTTGATGATAGTCATTCTTCAGTTACCCTTACTCAATTCTGTGAGTACCCCTTCCTATTCTACTTAATCGAGTTTTGCTCTTTGTTAATTATTTGTGTGTGTATTATTTTCCATGTATATGTTGGTGCACATGTGAATTTGAGACTTTCAATATTTTCTCTATTTTTCTTTTCATATTCATTTAATAGCAATTTACTACTGAAAATAAAATTACATGGCCATGTATTCAATTTTATTTTCTCAAATATGCTGTGCATGTATCATATATTTATGTGCCACAATATAAGTATGTGTGAATAGCAGTACTCTCACTACATCTTTCAAGTCTTATAGTTATATGTTAATAAATGTTGTTAAAGTATTTGACATAGCTAATATACATTATTTGGCGGTTCATCCTTTCTAAAACATGACTGAGACTAGAAGGCAATAAAATCTGAGATGACTAGTGATATTTCTAATCTCTTTTCCAATGTCTATGTTCTCAATTCTGTTGTGGAGAATTATATAATTCCTTCTTGTTTTAATGCTCCATGTTTTGCTAAAGCCAGAGTTGCTATTTTCTTATTTATTCTATTAAATATTATATCTATAAAAGAGAAGCTTAATAAATGTTTTCCAAATAAGAAAGCCTTTCAGTCATGTGGGCACATAAGCTTCTAGAATACACTGCTGGCCATACCTTTAGCTACTTCTTTTGGTACATCTTAGGTGTATTTTAGGACTCCACCACACTAATAAATTATTCATATGGTGCTTGGAGATTTAGCATGAAAAGCTTTTATGTACTGAATTTAGACTTATGCTATGTAATGCCCATTACAGTATATGCATTATCCACTTTGAATGGTTGCCACATTGATAAATATTAAATGATTAAAATATTGAGATGACAAAAGTTCATTCAACTAAAATACCTTAGGAACTCACCAATGCTGATTCTTTGTACTTCTCTTTGCAAATATATGTCTCTATCTCTTAGCTAATTAACTTTTAAAGTTACTTTTGTTACTATCTACCTCAGGAAAAAAATGGATCTAAAGTGGGCTTAGTTTCCCTGAGCACATCATAGGTAGAGTGGAATCACTTTCTGAGTTACTGAATCAGCAAAAAGAGAGCAAATTCGGCAGTATTAATGCAGTGTGTGATGTGTCTTATCACAAACTGAGCAAAGAGGCAGGAAATTACAGGCCAGATAAAATGATGGGCTACTGAGAATTTTATCAAGACCAGTTCATCACTTCAATGATGATTGTAATGTCCGCGTGGTGTCACTGTTCTCGTTAGTTTTACATTCTCAACCCAGTATTCAACCTGCAGTACTATCACTACATAATTATAGGGAGACATAAATGGTCTAGGCACTTATTTTCCGTCTCTAACCTGCTCTTACCCTGCTCATCTGGCAATTCACTAAATTTCCAGTGCAGTGTTGGTGATCATATCCCTAACATGACCACTTTTTAGGTGTTACTTGGAATGCTTATCAGTGTTACTATCCAGTCATCACCACAGTATCATATATACCATTTATCTTTCAGCTTTTTACCATCATTGTGCCTAAATGATGTTATCCATCCTAAATAATGAAGAAATCCAATCATAAGTCAATATGAAATTCTGATTTTACCAGAAATGAAGGTATACCAGAAATACA